CCTCCATGACACAGCACCATGATTGACTGACCAGGAGACCCCAAATCTGTCCTGCCCTCCATGACACAGCACCATGATTGACAGGCCAGGAGACCCCAAGTCTCCATGACACAGCACCATGATTGACAGGCCAGGAGACCCCAAGTCTCCATGACACAGCACCATGATTGACAGGCCAGGAGACCCCAAGTCTGTCCTGCCCTCCATGGCACAGCACCACCATTGACAGGCCAGGAGACCCCAAATCTGTCCTCTCCATGACACAGCACCACGATTGACAGGCCAGGAGACCCCCCTGCCCTCCATGACACAGCACCATGATTGACTGACCAGGAGACCCCAAATCCGTCCTGCTCTCCATGACACAGCACCACCATTGACAGGCCAGGAGACCCAAACCACTACAAACCTGTCCCCAATCCCACCCACATTCATGCCCATTGAATGCACTGATTCCCATTACATGATGGGATTTCTAGTTTGATGGAGCGCATCCTCATTCAGCGATCGGAGGGGAGATCAGCCGGTGGAAGTGTACAGGGTGGCGCACATGGGAGAGGCCATTCAATAATGCCAACCCGCTGTCAAGAGTGTGTTGTTATCCAGCCGTTTTATTTACAATTGGCCGGACTGCAAGTGGTTAAACGCAGTGTGTGTGCGCGGCCTCTTATGTGCAGCTCTGAATTCTGGGGCTTCAGCCAACTATTATTTAAAGGAGAACTACGGGGTTAGTTTTTTCCCCAGTCATACAGAACACAAACCAGCGTCCTCCCGTCACCCTAAGCTCAGTAGCTCGCGGTATACTGAGACGCCGCAGCTGGGACGGATCCCGACATTACTGTCTGTATCCACCCAGCTGCGTGACTGACAGCTGGCTCGGCCTATCCAGAGGCAGAGCCAGCTGTACCCTCCCCCATCCGTTCCGCCAGTCAGCGCTGGAGGATTGGGGAGGGAGGGAATCCCTGCAGGGAGCCGTGAGTGACAGTCACGGCTCTCTGCAGGGACAGGATCGAGAGGTGAGCGAGCGCCGGTATGTGTTCCCTCACTTCCCGATCTACTGAGCCGACCTGTGACAGTCTCATTGTCACAGGTCGGCTAGAACTATGAGGATGAAGGAAAATCATGTCTATTGCACCCGCCCACTGCCTGCTGTCAGTCAGCAGAGGAGGGATTTGAAGGAGAAAGTTCTGGATCAGGTCCTCCTCTGCTGATTGACAGGAGGCAGTGGGTAAGTGGGTGCAATAACAAGCCTGCAATTGGCTATTGCATTTTAAAATATCCAATAGCAGGCTGTCTATGGCTCCCAGCCTGTAGTTGCAGAGGAGGAACGCGGTGGCGGAATGGGGAGGGCAGAGGAGGAACGGGGTGGCGGAATGGGGAGGGCAGAGGAGGAACGAGGCGGCGGAATGGGGAGGGCAGAGGAGGAACGAGGCGGCGGAATGGGGAGGGCAGAGGAGGAACGGGGTGGCGGAATGGGGAGGAATGGAAAGGCACACAGACCGCTGCAGCCGGCACCAGCGGAGAGAACGGAGGAGCAGAGCAGCAGCAACAACTAATCGAAAATCAACTAATCGATGATAAGAATCGTTGCCAACAATTCTTAATGATTATAATTGATTTAGTTGTTGCCGCTCTGAATTCCCTTCATTCCTTAGACTCCGAGGCGGACGATTGTGGAAGAGGATCCCAGAGGAAGAGTCTGATTTCTGCTTTTTAATGATTCAACTCTTTTTATTGTTTTTATGTAACCATCGCCGTGCGTTGTTTGGAGTATTTTCTCCTTAACGTTGTCCGTTCAGATGAAATCCACGATGGAATGAACCTGGAATTGTACTACCAGTAGCTCCTCCCACCTCCTGCGATGGGATTGATCCCTTTCTCCTCCTTACACTCGGATTGGTGGAATTTTACATTTTCATCTGAAAGACTTTTCCGCGCACACGCCGGCAATCTGAGAACTTTTTTTTTTTTCTCTCCCTTGTTTTTATGAAAGAAATCGCTATAATAAAGAAGAAGAATTTGGATGATGTGTAAATTTAATAATGAACTCTGCTTTTGGTCGGATATTTGTGCATTTTGTTTAAAATAAAAATAAAATACCGTTCAGTGACGTCGTCGTTTTTGTATCGCGCCGAGAATGTGTAGTGCAGGGGTAGCAAACCTCCGGCTGTGGTGAAACTACAAATCCCATGATGCATCTCTCTTCGGGAGTCGTGGCTGTGAGAATCTTGCAATGCCTCATGGGATTTGTAGTTCCACCACAGCCGGAGGTTTGCTACCCCTGGCCTTAGTGGCTTCAATAGACAGCTAGAGCAGGGGTGGGAAACCTCGGCATGCTGGCTGTTGTGGAACTACAAGTCCCATAAGGCATTGCAAGACTGTCAGCCACAGGCATGGCTCCCAGAGGCACAGCTGGAGTGTTGAGGTTGCTCACCCCTGAGCTAGACTCTCATCTTTGCTGTAGATTATGTTGTTCGGATGTCTAAGAAGTCCCCGGGGCCTCTGACACTGTGTGCACGTTATTCATTGAGAAGGCCCAGAGTACCAGATCTGAACAGATGGCGGCGCCACAGGGGGAGTCCAATGTCATGCTCCCAGCTTTGTTGGAGGAGTTTGGGGACGGCCCCTTCCTGTTCCAACATGACTGCGCACCAGTGCACAAAGCAAGGTCCATGAAGACATGGATTGGCACAACAACAGTGCGTAGAGAGCTTCATGGAATGGGTTTCCATGGCCGAGCAGCTGCATCCAAGCCGCACATCACCGAGTGCAATGCAAAGCGTGGGATGCCGCGGTGTAAAGCGTGCCGCCACTGGACTCTAGAGAAGTGGAGGCGTGGTCTCTGGAGTGGCCAATCACGCGTCTCTGTCTGGCAATTCGATGGGCGTGTCCGGGTTTGGCGGTTGCCAGGAGAACGGTACTTGCCTGACTGCATTGTGCCAAGTGTAAAGTTTGGTGATGGGGGGCGGGGGGGTTGTTTTTTGGGGGTTGGGCTCTGCCCCTTAGTTGCAGTGAAGGGAACTCCTAAGGCATCAGCATACCAAGACATTTTGGACAATTTCATGCTCCCAAATTTGTGGGAGGAGTTTGGGGACGGCCCCTTCCTGTTCCAACATGACTGTGCGGCCAGTGCACAAAGCAAGGTCCATAAAGACACGGATGGGGGAGTTTGGGGTGGAGGAACGTGACTGGCCGCACAGAGTCCTGACCTCAACCCCATAGAACACCTTTGGGATGAATTAGAGGCGGAGACTGCGAGCCCCTCCCCCCAACATCAGTACCTGACCTCACAAATGGTCCAACATTCCCATAGACACACTCCTAAACCTTGTGGCGCCTTCCCAGAAGAGGCGGAGCTGTTATAGCGGCAAAGGGCGGAGCCAACCCAATACTGAACCCTACGGATTGAGACTGGGATGCCATTAAAAGAACTATGGTGTAAGTGTTTTTCCCCCATAGTTCTCCTCGGGGTCATGGGAGGACATATACTAGCGTCCTCCCGTCAGCCTAGGCTCAGTATATAGGGAGCTACAGCTCGCCGTATACTGAGACCGCCGCAGCCGAGACGGATCCCGACATTACTGTCGAGATCGTGACAGCTGGCTCTGCCCTACCTGGACCCTCCCCCGTCTGTTCCTCCAGTCAGCGCTTTTCCCGCCTTTATGTCACCTGGTGGTCCGGCCAGTAAGTCTGTTATTTTTACTTTCCCAGGTCAAGCTGTCCAGCAAACCTGCCAGATAAAGGGTTGGGACAAACGACACTGAGAGGAGGGGCTCACAATGGTCGCCTTTCATTCTCTATAGAAAACCTTTTATCCCAAAACGAAGCAAAAACCTGTTGATGTAACGGCTTAAAAAGTGTCAGCTGGAGACCCGCTTTGATTTGTCGGTCTGGTCCTGGGCTAGACCAACTCCAGCTGTGGTGAAACCACAAATCCCATCATACATCTGCCTCTGGGAGTCATGCCTGTGGCTGTCAGAGCCTTGCAATGCCTCATGGGACCTGTAGTTCCACAACAGCCGGAGGGCCGGAGTTTGCCTCCCCCTGCTCTAGTCCATGTAACCAGGGCAGCCATCAGAAATTTTGGGGCCCCTTACACGGCTTAGGCCGCCCCCCCCCCCGCTGGACGCAGGGCTTAGTGACACGCTGAATACAGGACCCAACTGTGAGTGACCCTGCACAGCCCATCTGAGACTGTCTATGGTGGGCTCTGAAGGGGTCTCAGGTGGGCTGGTCAGGGCTGCACCCCTCCCTCCTTTCCTACCTAGCTCCTCTGACCTGCACACATGGCCTCGTCTGCCGCCGGACCGGCCAGAAGTGATGTCCCGTCACTAACTAACGTGACGTCACTTTCCGGCCAGTCCGACATCAGACGAGCAGCGTCGCTGATGGGGCCCTAGCTTGTCTTAAAGCCGCTGCAGCGGCAATGCTGGGGCCCTGCGCTGCTAGGCCTCCGCCTCCACGCCCTTCACCGTCGGCCGATAGTCTTGTAAGGGACCCGGACGGGCCCCCCAGGCTGCCCGGGCCCCTTACATGAGTATCTGCCGTACCCCCCTGATGGCTGCCCTGCATGTAACACCTCCCTCCCCATAGGGTAGCAATGCTGCTGTCCAACGTTGGCTCCATTGCTCCTCTGTAGAGCGGAACCACCATAAGACAGGAAGTGTGTTACTGGCTGATCTCCAAAAAAAACCAATGCAGTCATAGGGTTGCCACCTTTTCTCCAAGCAAAACCCGAACACTCTATATGACACGCTTACATTTTTGGGGGAGAATGAGTCGCGGCTTATTCATATGTAGATATCACAGTTGAGAGTATTTCCAGTGGGGGGACCAGTAGCCCCCATGTTAATTTTGGTTGCTCCTGTCTGCCTGACATCTTGTGTCCCGGTTTCTGCTGCCATGAAACCCGGACACGGCATTCAAAACCCGAACTGTCCGGGTGAATCCTGGACAGCTGGCAACCCTATGCTTAGGGTGATTAGGGTGTGCCCAGGCACAGCCTTTACGCATGCCTATGTGTAGTAATAGTTAAAAATAAAAATAGAGGGCGGGTGTCACCGCTGTGTCGTCATCGCCATCTGATTGACGCCTGCCGGCGGCCATCTTGGTGATGCATGTCATTGCTGAGCCTGATGAAGGGGACCCTGCGTGGCCCCCGGAAAGCTCCAGTTCTGGTGACGTGATGTTCCAATAAACAAACACTTTGGACTTCAACGCTATTGGTGTGCTGGTGACATCCGTTTATTTTGTACTGTTTGGCGGCGCCATCCGTGGTCACTGCGCCCTTATTTAATTTGGGGCGCCCCGGTAAGGAGTGTGGCAAGCTATTTCTACATCTTGGTGATGGACGGCAGCAAAGAGAGGAGGGGGCAGTCACCCGGCGGGATGAGGTATGAGGCCGGGTCCCCTCCTCTCTCCTGACACTGTCGGGCTCTCGGTACATGACCGAGTGCCCGACTTTTTAGAGGGGGTGACACTAGTGGCGTCAGAAAGGGGGGTGCGGCCCGCACCCGGGTGACACCATTGGAGGGGTGACACCAAAATAACTCACAGTCATTTTGGTGTCACCCCTCTCTGAAAAGTCGGGCGAATGCCCGACAGTATCAGGAGAGAGGAGGGGATCCGGTGGCATACCTTATCCCGCCAGGTGACTGTCCCCTTCTCTCTCACCAAGATGGCCGCCGGCAGGTATCAGAATACTGCCGCGCGATGACGTTATCGCGCACGCGCGTGGTGACGTCTCGGCGGGGTGACACTCGGTTACCGCTCCGGGTGTCACCCAGCCTCGGGACGCCCCTGGGTGACACCAAAATGATTGTCAATCATTTTTGTATCACCCCCGCAATGGTGACACCCGGGTGCAGGCCGCACCCCCCACACCCCGCTTTGTGACGCCACTGATTTTAGGTATTCCAACTTTTTTACTAATAAGTGATCTCAGACCGGAAGGTCCTAATTGCTGGACGTTCCCCAACCATGGGAAGAATAGGAGCCTGATCCCTAAAAGCATCTCAAATAGGAGGGCGGGTCAAGTCTCTGTCTTTAGATAGACTTTAATGACCCGTTGTGTGGGCGTGGCTTTGCTGCACGATGATAACAAAAGACGGAAAAATAAATACGTACACGGACCCCCACAATTGTATTTATATCCGAGTACCAACATCCCTCATCCAATCATCTCCTTTATTATAACCAGAAACAAATACATGAAAACGGTGCACTGGCGGGGGGAGGGGATCTTCAGCTTCTGTACACTGCCCACCTACAAGTCAGGATGTGGTCTACAAACTTGTCTAGAAGTCATTTCATGATACTTTATTTCTGCCCCTGTGGTACAAATTTTTGGGGGGTTTTCTTTATATTTATCAAAATGGAAATATTTAATATTTGTTATTTCAATTTTGTTCATATTTTAAAGTCACATATTTAGTTCTTGTGATTCTCCCCCCCC